TTCTGGTATTTCTTAATTGGTATATGTGTGTGTGCATGTGTTACGGTATTCTGAAGTGGCTAGCAATTGCTGTGGTAAGTGTTTTTCTGATCAGTGGGCCCTACAACCTTTTACTATGATTTTTCAGCATTTCCTTTGCTTGTTTACAGAAAGCATTCAAGCTCCAAAAAATATCTATGCCAGTATGGTGTAGTGGTTAAGTGTGCGGACTCTAATCTAGGGGAACTGGGTTTGATTCCCCACTCCTCCACTTGCACTTGGCTGGATGACCTTGGGCAAGCCATAATTCTGGCACAGCTGTTCTTGAAAAAGAGCAGTTTCTGTCAGAGCTCTCTCAGCCCCACCTACCTCCCAGGGTGTCTGTTGTGGGGAGGGGAAGGGAAAGGAGTTTGTAAGCCACTCTGAGACTCCTTTGGGTAGTGAAACGTAGGGTATGAATCAATCTCTTCTTCTTCTTTTTCTTCTTCTTTATGATATTTTTAACATATCAACTATGCATTATAAGAGGGATGACTTATACAAGTTATTATAACTTTGTTTAGCACATATTCTCAGGTAGATGTAGAGTAGGGTTGCCAAGTCCCCACTGTATGTACAGTGGGAGACTCCAGCCCCATTCTGGGAGCGGGTGCGCGCAAAGTACGTGCACGCTGCAACCACATCACCCGGAAGCAAAGCGGCCATGTTGGGCGCACTGGGGGCGGGGCCGCAGTCATCTGAGGGAAAAACATAGAGTTTTCCCTCGGATGACCGCGACCCCGCCCCCGGCGCGCCCGGTGTGGCTGCGTCACTTCTGGGTGACGTGCTGATGCCGGGCACGTCACGTGCTTTGGGGGTGGGGTTCCCCCCGGGGCCTGATCCGCTGGCGGCAGGTAACGGGCCTCTGGGGTGGGGGTTTCCCCGCCCCCCCCGGGGGACTTGGCAATCCTAATATAGAGGCATCCCAAAATGCGACAGAATCTGCAAATGCTCACTTAGAGAACCCGATACTTTAGATCCCTTCCATTCACATCTCCGATTATTTTTGATTAAGCCCTTACTGTCTAGGATCAATTCTGATAATGCAATCAGGTTTCTCCTTGCTGATAAGACACCAGAAGTGACTCTACAGATTGCTGAATTTTTGTCTAAGATTTTGTTAGCAAGAAACTATTCTTAATATTGGTGTGCTCTAAGATTTATAGATGTAATTTTAGCTTGACGAAGTTTTTATCTTACTGATTTTATATGCCAATAAAGGTTCTGTATTGTTCGTTAGCTCATATGCATGGGAAATAAATGTGAAAATAATGTTCAGTTTTATATTTATTGACAGCTATAAAGTTGTTCCAAAAGTTAAAATTTCATTTTTTAAAAAAGTCAAGTCTTCAGATCCATCGCTAAATAGTCACCATCCAGTGCTTTTTGCAAAATTACACTCATGCCTCATTTGGCTGACTTCCATAAGCTCATGTGCATTATAACTTAGAACTGCAAATGTGTATGTGTGTAGGGATGGGCATGGCCCAGCTCACAAACTAAAGTTTGTGATTAATTTTGGCTGGCTCATGGTTCGCCAACTGAAGTTCGTGGTCAGTCAACCAACATGAATTTTCCACAAACTTTCAAGCTGTTCATTTCCAGACAGACTGTCTCTGCTCAATCAAAATGTTTACAAAACTTTAAAGCAATGGGAGGGGGGTGAATTTTCCAGCATTGGAAACACCAATAGCTTCCCCAAAGTTTAACAGGCACTGCTGTCTACCACAGTGTTTCCATTCTGCTCTATGGGATCAGAATGCTATATATACCCTCAGCTCAGCTCTGTACCATCTCCTCTGTTGGGTGTCAGCAGTTAGACAGAGAGGCAGGGAACTTGTTAAAAACAGAGCACATTAATTTATTCCTAACTGTGAACACCTCTCCCCTGGTGGAGTTTGGGTTTTAGGTGGACTCAGGGCATTAAGCTATCCCATCACTCTGTGCATGCTGAGCAAAGGGGCTTAGCTACTGGGTGCCTCGTCTGAGGACCCACATTTATAGCCTCCCACCCCTCCAGACTGTGAACGCCTTTGTGTGCCGTGAAAATGAAAGTGGATGCAAAGACTGCTTGTCATGGGGGGGGGGGAAGTCCTCTACGCCCTGTGTTCTACAGTTCCCCATCCCTGGGCACCAAACCCAACCCTTTCTCACTGAAATTCTCCCACTAAGAAAGCCCCTGGGTACCGCACCCTTTACTTTTACTCTCCCAAAAAAATTTCCTTCATCCAACACCTACCGCATGAAAGAACACCTACCTCACAGAATAACATCCACCTCAGCAAACATCTGCCTGTACAAGCAAGCCCCTGTTTGACTACCCCTTTCCATTGCATGTATACAATTCACAACAAGTGATCTCTTATCTGTACAATGTGTTCCATTAATGGTGAATAACCAGAAATTTCACCTGGGGTGGGCTGTGACCAGACGATCTGTGTGTTTGGGCCTGAGGGGCTTTGTGGGCAGGACTTGCTAGGTTCCTGTGCTTGTCAGGGGTCTCTCCCAAACTGCTGAGAGGTTACTATGAGGGAGACCTTGTTAAAAGTCTGGGGATGTCTGCTTTTCTGAACCTGCCTTTTGAGACTTGAGGGGGAGGCAGTGAGAATAGAAGGGATGCTTGCCTTGCTTCCAGTGTCTGGTGGTGTGTGTGTGTGCCTGTCCAGTTGAAGTTTCCCTGTGAGTTTGGTGTCACTGGCTTCTTCCTGAGCGTTCCATAGGCTCCTGTAACTGCAGCTGTCTTTTCCAGAGACAGAGAGCACTGGGGAAACTTTCGGGGGAGTCTGTAACTGGGACCCTAGAAATGTATCTGTCCCCAATTTGGAGAGATTGTAGAGGAACGGGCAGCAGAATGAGCTACCCTGTGCATTTGGTATGTCCTGTGTATTTGCAGAAGGTCCATTTCTATACACTTTTGAACCTGTGCCTGACATTTCCCACAAAAGCACTTTCCTGGGGGCATCTTCTGTGAGGGGCCATAACTCAAACCCCTCTAAGTCCACTATGCATATAACTTGGAGGACATATTCAGGACCATCAGAGGGAGATCCTCTATGAATCTGATTTCTTTAGCTTGCACAGGGTCTATTCTATACACTCCTAAACCTCCTGAACCTGTGCATGTCATTTCCCCAGAAACCACTTTCCTGGGGGCACTGGGGGGGGGGGCTGTGGCTTGGACCACGTAAATCCAATCCCCACTAAACTTGGAAGGCAGATAGAGGATAATCAGCAGATCTGTGAGTTTGGTGAATCTAGCATGTGGGGGGAGGGCCCTTCTACCACATCATGAACCTCATGAATTGAGCCTAAAAATTTGTGACGGCACACCACAACCCATGACAAACCACATCTTCCCAGTTTGTGTGCACCCCTATATGTGTGTACAACCACTCACCAGCTTCTACCTGACAGAATAGCCCACAGAAATCATGTGGCTGGATACCAATGAAAACACAAAATCCCTTAGTTACAAAATCCACTAACATCAGCTGGATTTGCTTCCAAAGACCTTCAAGCTTCACTGTAAGCATATGCACCACATCTGAAGTAACTAGCAAGCCCGCTCAGAACATTCAACAGACAGAAGTTTTGAAAAAGGAAAGCATTCCCTCACTTCCACCCACCTCTCCGAGGCAGCTCCATCCCAGCAAGCCTCTCAGGCCGCTCCCTTTTCCTCCACCAGTTCTTTTGCATGCCACCACCTATCCCTTAGCAGAACAACCGGTCCTTTCCACGTAAACGCTGAAGCACAGCCCTGAAGGAAACGCAAAGAAAGAATCAGTGCAGGCAAAGACAAGCCTCTTGCTTCTAGCGTCCCTTCTTGTTGCAATGCCAACGCATGTTGCTTATAAATAAATGCAGCCTCTCTCTATTAAGTGAGTGTATTACAAAGAGTCCATTAGCACAATCTGCCTGGCTTAGCAAAAGCCATCTTCTGAAAGCATGTGTACAGGGCACCCTATAATGAAAATAATCGTTCTGCACCTGAGCAACATCCAAAGGCAGTGGAACTGCACCAGAAGAACTCGGGACCGTGGGAAGCGCCAGCAACCGATGCCGTTCTCAAAGCATTTTAGGTTTTGCTTTAATATAGCCGAACTAATTCATAAGAGGTCAAATGGAATTATGAGGCATTCAAACGAGTTGCTGCAAACCTTTCCTACGTCTTCCATATTTCTTTCCTGCAAGTTAACAGGAGTTAACCTTCTTGGGCAAATGCACAACAGAATGCGCAAAACACAGAAGCACAAGAAAACGGCTTTGGGTCCGCTTTCGTTCAATGTACTTTTAAAAAATCCTTAGCTGAAGGACGACCACAAGCTGGTAAAGGCGAACAGGTTTCCTAAAAAGTCGACGCTGGGGGGTGGGGGTGGGGGGGGTCCCAAGGCCAACAGACAAAAGCTATTCCCCTTTAAACAATGGGTATCATGCTGCTGCCAGTTATTAAATCCCAGTTATGCAGGACACAAAACCACGAACGACCTGGCTCTAAAAAAAACCTAAATCGAGTCCATTTTCAATGTCGATCTCTCAAACAGACTAAACTAGAACACGCAAAGCCCGAAACAAAATATGCTGACTCTGAATGCGCTGGCATTTTACTCTTAGAACTGCACCTTTGCCCCGTGCGCTGCAAACGGGTCTCGTCCAGAAACAGCTTTGGTGCCTGCAGCTAAATATGCCTTTGACCGGAGGATTAAG